TTTTGATGGGAAAGGGGTGATTTATTTCATTGGGCTTTAGGGAAAGGAGTTGGATAATTGTTCATTCACTGCATTATCCTTACAAGAAAATGTAAGAGCTTTAAGTTGGCTAAGCAATATAGTGCTTGGCACACAGTAAGCATTTAATAAATAAATGGTAACTTTCTTATTATCTGTTCATTGCCAGCTCCACTAGTGTGTAGGTTCCATGAGAGCAGGGCCCTTAGCTGTCTTGCTTATTGTCATACTCCCAATTCCTAGAATAGTGCCTAACACAGAAGATGTTTAGTAATTATTATTAAATAGTTCCCCCGGGGAAGTGGGAGGCGGTGGGTGGGATGGGAAGAGAAAAGACAGGAAAGTAGAAAAATCTGAGCCAGTGCAAATAGCTTTTGCCTTCTCCTCACGTGTATGTCTCTGTGCAGGGACAGCCATTTTAGGGGGTGCTGATGGATACCTGCGGGGTCGGCTGTGTTGCCCTGGGGGAGGCCGGCCCCGTGAGGAACATGACTGTGGTAGACTCTCCTGGACAAGAGGTGCTAAACCAGTTTGATGTCACGGCCTCTTCAGAAATAACCAGTGCTGAGGCTTCCATAGAGATGTCTTTACCTCCACCTTTGCCTGGATTTGAGGATTCTCTTGATGAGAGCAGGCTCCCTCCAGAACAAGAAAGCTTCTCCAGACTTGAACAGCAAGGTATGTACCTTGTCCTTTAATCTTTTAATCTCCCCATGTTTAGCTTCAGATGACAGAGAGCAGGGTGAGCTCACAGGATCTTACCAACCTGGGTATGGTATAATCTCTGCCAAAGAGATTTGAGCTCTGGTCCCGTCTCACAGACCCATATTCTTCTCTACAGATCTTTCTTCAGAGATGTCAAAGGTCTCAAAACCTAGGGCCTCAAAGCCTGGCCGGAAGAGAGGTGGTAGGACACGGAAAGGCCCCAAAAGGCCCCAACAACCTAATCCTCCGTCAGCCCCTCTGGTTCCTGGTCTCTTAGATCAATCCAGCCCTCTATCTGCCCCCATGCCTAAGAAACGAGGTCGAAGGTCCAAGGCAGAGCTGCTACTGCTGAAGTTGTCCAAAGACCTAGATCAGCCAGAGTCTCCACCTCCAAAGAGGCCCCCTGAGGACTTTGAGACCCCTCCTGGGGAACGACCCCGCCGAAGGGCTGCCCAAGTGTAAGGATTGTGGGGCGCAGCTCGGTGGAGGGGGGGGCCGGGGTGAAGGGAATCAGGGTGGGACAGATGTTGGAGAGCTGAGAGGCTGTGGTGAGGCGTCAGGTAAGCAGGGGTAACGTCTGGGTTCTGGGGACTTGAGCCATCTTCTAGCTCTTACCGCAGCAACTTCTACCTGTTGCTAAGGTTGTCTGTCTAGGAGGTTGCTTTTTGTGCCTTGTATCCTGTCACCTTTTTCAGTTTCCTCCAGGTCTTCGTTGCAATTTTACCGCCCAGTATATATCAGTCTCTCTGTGTCCTTCCATTCTTCCCTTGGCTCTTACTGATCTCTGTGGTAGAGTGAAAGTGCTTTTGGACTTAGAGTTGGCAGATCTGGGTTCACATTCCACAAACATGATCTGAGTCTTACCTTGGCCAAGTCCGTAACTTCCCTGGATCTCTGGTTCTTTATCAAAGGGGAAGGGAAAATTAATAGCTGCTTTGCAGGGGTCCTTGGGAGGATCCAGTGAGATAAGAATCAGCTAAGTATCTGGAAAAGGGGCTCTCAGTTAAGTGTCTGTGAGTATGGCTCTGACTCTGCCCTGTGCCACAGGGCACTTCTGTACCTTCAGGAACTGGCTGAAGAGCTCTCAACAACCCTGCCTGCTCCAGTGCCCCGTCCCGAGAGCCCCAAAGTGAGCAGCCCTGCCCAACCAAATAAAAGCCAGCCACAGGCAGCCTGTCAAGGTGGAGAAGAAGAGACTAACACTGCACGGGATGAAGACTTTGTTCTCCAGGTTGAGGCTGAAGATGGAAATGAAAGCGAGGCTCCAAGCGAGATCTCATCTGACCCCGAGCCTGCGGTGCCTCGGAGCACCCCACGAGGATCCACTTCCGGGGTAACTGAATGAATAAGAAAGTGGGGAAATAGGAGGATTATTAGGGGGTCTGCAGGGTGCCTAGTAACTGATGGCCAAAGTAGGTAAAGGAAGAAAGGGACACCCTCAAAAACATTGGGGCACGGGGGGGCTGCGGGTGTAAGTACATGAGATTACTCATTTAGATACCGAGCATCTACTCTGCACTAGGAAACACATGTGACTGCAACAGCATTCTGCCTAAGTCCACAGTGTGATAGGTGCTTCACCGGGACTGAACACAGTGCTTTGGGCGTGTAGAGGAAGGCAGTAAACTACTCAGGCTTCCCAGAGAAGTGATGGTTGGGCTAGGTCTTGAGAGGTGAGTGGCAGTTTGCCAGAGGGATTGTTTTTCCCAGAAATTCCTGGGACAGGACACTAGAGCAGGCAGGGCTATTGAGAGCTCTCAGCAAGTTCCCAAGGGTGCAGAAGTGCCCAGCGGGACCTCGGAGGGTCTAGGGGAGAGTGGTGGGATCAAACTCGGGAGGATGGCCGGACAACCACTGGAGGGAGCCAACACAGGTGTTTGTACGTTTGTTGAATTGTGGTAAAATATACCACATAAAATTTGCCATTTAAAAATGTACGATTGAGTAGTGTTAGCTTGTCCTTGGTGTTGTACAGCCATCACCACCACCCATTTCCCAAATGTTTTCATCATCACACACAGAAAATCTATACAACAAAGGTTTTTAAGTAGAAATATAATTAGTTAGGACAATAGGTCAGTCAGCAGTGGACAATTAGAAGACAGCTTCAGGTATCCAGGTAGTAATAGGGAGCGTCTGAATCAAGCCATGAAGCAAGCGAAGGTGGGGGACGGATGCAAGAGACGTTTGAGACAGTTAACAGCACTTGGCAGTCACAGGAAAGGAAGGAGTAGGAGTTTCTAACTTAGATGGTGCTTTCTTGTGCTGGACTTCAG